TTGCTGAACTGTTTTCATAGCTTTGTTCAAGATTTTTTAATAAGGGACTTTAAAAGAAATCACCCTAGGTTCATGTGGATCTTTTTCCTTGTCAGCTACTTGAAGAAGAGTTCATCAAGGGGAATGAAATTGGGATTAGATTGAGAAGACTTGCAAGAAAGGACATTTTTTTAAGACTGGATTTGGGATACCTAGGGCCAGGGGTGAAAACATTTAGCTTTATTTGAGGGGAATATATTAATCTGTTCTGGGTTTTGCTTAGCTTTATTCAAGGGATATTTATTAATCTGAAGTCGACATTATGGTCCAAGCATGGCCCTCAGCAGATTTCCAGTGGGGGTTACCTGAATGATATGTGGTAATTAAAGCGTAGAACATGATATCAATCAGGACCATCCAATGGGATGACAAGCGTTTGGCAACCACTTCTGTGCAAGGAACTGATACAACATCTCACCTATGATGATTCTATTCCTGGCAAACTTGGCAATCACCGTTCTATTGAATCTATTATCTATGAAATCAATGAGGACAACACAAACTTCTCAACTGGTTCTATGATGTTCTATTAACATCCCTGCAAAGCGCCTTTTAGACCAAAGTCAGGAAACAGCACGTCCGTGCTCCGTGCGCTCCGTGGGTTTGGTGCGTTTGCTCCGGTGGAGAGTCGTATCCCGGCCCGTGCCCGGCGGAACTCTTCCCGTAGGCGAGTGAAGAGTCGTACCTGACCGGTCGACGGCCTCGCCCGTCAACCGGTACCACGTCTGGGCGGGACGTGCCACGTGACTCCGAACGTGCCATGGTGACATGGATGCCATGGCCCCGAGTGAGTTCGGAAGACCATGAAATCCACGAACCAAACAGCTGGTGCCATCCACGTAACCATGTGAGTTCGGAGAGTACACTTCTTGAAATCATCGAACCCAAACGAGACAGGGGACCTGAATCGAAGGGGTCTGGGGTCGAATCCTCTGGATGGGATCTGGGGTCGAACCAATCCCTATGGTTTTGAGGGACCGGTCGGGCCGTTTATTGGAGCGTCTGGCAAGCGGAAAGCAAAACACCGGCCATGCCATCCTCGGACAACTCATGGGACCTTCGAAAAACTCGGCCTCCGCCATCCACGTTGGCCGTCAGGGGGAGTGTACTGAGTGTGTCCCTGTCCCAACTCATGGGACTCGAATGGGCACCATGGAGCCCTGCCACACCATCAACCACCCCAACTCAGGTGTAGATCATGCCAAACAAAACCGGTGGTGTCTGGGTATGGATGAGCAGTTTCAAACGAAAGATACCTGGAAAGTGGATTCAAAGCATCTAGCCCCTTGGATTGATGTATATAATGGTTATATATAACATAGGGCTTCTACACTGGCTTCTACTGTAGCTAGCTTCTAGATCAGCTGTGTCATACTTCCAATCACAAATCAACTCCTTCCCTAGAACTCAGGTGAGCTACAGTACTAGCTAGAGTGGGCATTCCGGCAATCCACTGAGTACAATCTAAGATTCATTGGGAAACTTATTGTCACTTACATACTCTTCAACGAAGAAGTCCCAAATCCATCAACACCCTGTACCTCCATGCCCTGAAACAAACTCCTGGAGCCTGGAGCCCTGTGCCCGCCCATACCTTGGGTTCCTGGATCTAGTAGGGTGCGCTCTGGATCTCAACTTCAAGATCCACAGGCACCCTGAACTGCAATAGATGATCTCCGATCATCAAACTCACAGCCACGTGGACCACCCCAACTGCAGCACCTTTGAAAGAATCAACAGGACCGGACCCCCTTTCTTGGCCTTCAGTACCGGTCCGGATCCGTCTGATCTCTCACCATTCTGTGCCGAAGAAGCTCCGCGGACAGCCCCCCGCGGACGGGACGTTCGGTGGACCCTGTGTCGGTGACTCGGGAGCAGCTCGCGACCGTGCAAATCACCTGGTCTTCCACCTGTTGGCACGACGTCTTGCGCCTCGATGTTGGCGACGTCTTTCCCCGGTTCGAAGGGGTTGTCCACGACATAGAAGGACTGGCCTTGTCAAATGGAGGCCTCCCGGGGGGGATCCTCGAAGTTCCACATGGTTTTAGAGGGAAGGCATGGGAAGTGCGGCTGAATTGCGGCTGAATCTCTGAGTTGTGCATCCCTTTTTGGGGGCTCCAAGTACTGCAACTGAGAAGGGGGTTCGAGCCCAGCGAAACAGAAGCCTCTCCAGCCACTCAGGAGGAAGTTTGAGCTCTAGGATTCCATCTATATAAGTAGAATCAGTTGGATGCCATTTCTTGCTGCATGGAGGAATTCTCCATTCTCCAGATGTCTTCCTACAGTAGCGAATCAATGCCAAAGGCGCCCGAGACTCGCCTCTGAATGGTTCCGATTCGATTTCTGGGTGTCGCTCCAGTGACACCGCGCTCGGCTGTCCCTGGTTGTCCCAGTTCAGTCGAGTGAACTCTTTTTCAGGGCGGGAGGTCCTTGGACATCTGGATGGGGGAGAACCCCAACCTCTTGAAAAACACGTGGTCTTGGCAGGTAAAGGATGCTCTTATCGATGGGCGTTCGAAACCTGACCAAGAGGTAGTTAAATTGCCCAGATGGATCCAAATGGAGATTCAATTTGGTTTCTTGTTCTGGTAAAAATATCCGCAGATTAGCTTACTATTCCCATTAACCTGTTTACACAAAACAGCTTCTTCATGGCTGCCAATCTGAGCAAGCTTCACATGTCTTGGCGATGTGGATCTGAGCGGCTCTAACTAAATACTACCGTTGGAGTTTCACACATCCCATGATCATGTTCCGTCAGTCTCAGCGCCACCTCTTGTATCTGCCTCTCACTCGTCCTCAGCTTCCGACTCTTCTCAAACTTCGATGCAAAGGACGACGTGTCGCGGATCGCAATCGCCCCGCACTGGTACACCTCGCCCCGCGCGGGACGGGCACGTCGCGGGCGCGGAGCTCGTCCAAAGGGATTCACAGAGTCCGGGATTTAAGAATGAATCAGTTATGCTGTCCAAAAGGATATTAAATATCCAAATGGATAATAAAAACAACAAATGTCTGACATAATAAGGGAAATCCAATATCCAATGGACAATGGATTACCAAATGGGGACATCAGACTGCCTGTGGGGCCGATGACTGCATTTTGGAAGGGTCCAACCGACTGCCGCGACTGCTCCTCTTGAGGGCGTCGGACAGCAGTGGTGTGTGCGACAGACGGTTTGCGTGATGTGTTGAATAGATACTATCACATTGGATATGCCCAACGTAGCATTTTAAGGAGTTATCAACATGAGGAAATTGGCCTCTTTCAAGTATATGCCAATGTGAAATTTAAATCATTGTTGGTGACATGATGTGTTTAATAGAGGATCAAGGTTTCTTAAAGACCCACCTTTTCCGGAAGATACTGTTTCCAAAGAAGGAGGGGCCTTTATGGAGAACGCTGTTGAAAAGAGCAGGAATCGTTCACCAGAGGAGTCTTGCTTACAATTGGTAGGCCTATTTACAGAATTCGCTCACTGTGAATGATCCTATCAAATTGCTAAAGAGAGGACGTTTTATGAGTGCCTCCGGCATTCATAAATAGGAAGGATCTGCAATTTTGGAGCCGGCTCAAGGAGCATATATTTTGCAGGAGCTGGAGAGGGACGAGCGTTTTTGAGTATAATGAGATGTCAATGAGATCCTTGTACGAAGGGTGAGAGACTTTCCAATGGAAGGGGGCTCCCGAAGAGGAATGCCAAGGAGCACCAAGGAGAACACCGATGGCTGATATGGACGCCGGGACGTTATAAAACAAATTGTCTTTGGGACCAAAGATTGATATCTAAGGGGTGAACTTTTAACAGGTGATGGAAGAGGCGAGATCCAACGTTAAAAAACAAATCAATATATGTAATAAGACTACTAGGACATATTATAAGAATTATAAGACATAAGCAACACTTTTTGTAATGACTATATATATAATATAATATATTACAATGTCAACAACAAACACACACACCATGCTCTCACAGCCCTGGTTTTTGATTTGAAACCTTCACTTGAGACCTTTGTTTCATCCCGCACACGGTGAGAACGAGCAGGTCCAACGTAGCATCCCCAAATTCCCTGGGCCGAACCCTGGCGGATGCACATGGACTGAACAAACATCGACGATGATGGGCCCCATGGAATGTATTATTCATCTACCTAGTTTTGCCTGACTGTTTGTGTAAAGGAATACAGTGGACAAACAGTGGACAAACCAATTTTTCATTGCTTCGAGTTGGTCAAAGGTCCTGTTTCTGGTCGTGTAGGGGTGTGATTCGTCATGAGCAAGCATGCTTTCGAATTGCTGTCTTGATCTGTGCATGAGAAGTATGGAGATGTCAATTATTGTGAAAAAAACACTTCCTTGAGACTCTCCTGTCCACAGAATGACACACCTTAGAGAGGACCAAGCACAATTCATATATAAAAAGAACCACCAATTTTGGTGCAAGAACGAAAACACCACTTGTCAAAAAGAGTGGCCTGCTGTGCAGCCTGCTGATCTGCTGATCGCCCAAGACCCGACACCCGAAGACTAAGGTCTCGGCCCATCCAAAGTATCTGAAGAATTCCAAGAGCAAAGCACCCACGCATTCCTTCAGGCCAATCTGTGCGTTCTGCAAAGACCCAAAAACCCAGTGGGCAAGTGGCTGAAAACTCTGCAATCAAGTAGACTCTGTGCAGAAACACTAGACCTAAACATGCGATTCAAGGTTCATAGATACATATCCGATTAGCTCTTGATCTTTTGTGGGAGGATCAGTGCACAATGTTGACGTTAAACAATCACTACTCATCAACCATACGCGCTTTTCAGGGGGGCCTATCGCGTTTGCAAGTTTTAGCCAAATTCCTGAGAATCACGACGGCTCTTTACAAAATTGGTCATTGCACGTCTTGGCTGCTCACCTGCTGTCACTATACTACTCCCCTTCATCAGCATCTGCCGCTCCATCTGCCTGGTTTGTGCCATGATCTCCTTGAAGTTTCAGCAGTGCACCCGAAATCAACTCGGAGTCACCTAGTACGGCACTCCACTCCACGTCCGACTCGAGTCAGCGTGTCACGTGCCACGTCTGCGCCCTCAGTCACGTCCAAGTCGAAGTGCTCTGGGTTTGGGGGTGATCACGTGGTGGAGTGTCACCGTGCCATCCTACCTGAAATGCTTCGTCTTGAGAAGCACAGATCTGATCACGTATGGAACAAATCTGACAGGAACAGGCAGTAGTTCGTACGGAGTGTGTGGCCTTTCTCAGATTTTGGGGCCCAGGGGATCAATTCGAGTGGTGGAACTCCCACCATGTTGCAATCTGGTGGAACTCCCACCAATGGTGGTGGTGCTCGATCTTCAGACATCTTCAAACAACATATTGAGTCCACCCACCGGTGCTACATATGTTGTGCTCGACCGGTGGTCTTGTAGACTTCGAAGTCGGACACGGCCGGGCCCGGAGGCATGCCCCCGGACATGGCCGGGTGCTGAGAACGGGCGACGTTACGTGACGTTCGAACGTCTTCCATCTTTCACCCAAAACCTTCCGAAAGGGTAAGCGACGCTACTAGGGGCTCCTGGCATCGCTACTAGGAGCAAGGGCCTTACTAGTAGGAACAAGAAGCTAGTAGAAACAAGAATTTGTATAATTAGAATTAGGTTTAATTAGTCGTTTGTGGTTACTTAAGGAGAGGCTGATTGTAGATCCATCATGACATGGCAATACATGGCACATGTTTTCTTTGACCATGGCGGTGTTGAAGGATCCGAACCTCGAACCCGAAGTTGGCGGTGTCGGCGGTGTCCGCAGTTCGAGACACCCGCGACTTGGCTTTCGAGGCCCCATCCCAGCACGCTGAGCGGAACGGTTCTCTGCTTCCACGTCCAAGGTGCTGCAATAGCGACAGTCAGCACCTGACTGAAGATGTTGACAGGTGGATGATCCCAATGAAACGAGGACTGTTGACATCCCACTTGATTAATAAGGTATTTGATTTGAAATACACCCTTTTGCATCGGGGTCTCATGAATCAAGAGTCTACATTAATTGAGTTTAGTAAGAATACTGCTGACTTACCTCATGTTCTCCTCCAAGTAATCACCTGGCAGTTCCAGGAAAATCTAGTGACATATCAGATCAAATGCAATCACCGTCATTGCAACGCGTTGCGAGGACCTCTCCGAGCAAACGCCGATGGATTTTCACTGAGCACTGCACCAAGAAACAAACATACCGTGTATGCTCGGTCCGGCTCCCTCACCCTATGGTGATTGCAAATGACTTGGAACAAAATAAAGGTACTGGACTAAATATAGTCATGTAGCATAGAATCTAGTATATCCTAGAAACATGTTTCACATAAGTCCATGCAGCAGTCTCCTTGTCTGTTTCGTCTGTCTCTGGATAAGGCCTCTACCCAATGGCAATGCTGGCACGGTCTGTTCCATGTGGCAACCGTCGGCTACTTGCTGTTGCAGGACACATTCGAAGTCACCCCACCATTGCAGCATCTAAGTTAGACATAGCAATGGTAGTATTGAGTAATACCAGTACAAGAGCAAACACATGAATACGATATATAGAATATATTCTATACCTGGACCTTCAAGGGGTGTCCTGTCTGGAGGTCCCGGATAGTAGTGGGCTGGGGCGAAACCAGCCAGGTGACCCCGAACTGAGGGTGCTGGTATAGTCTTCTTGTGTTTGCTATCTGCTTGGTCTATCCGAATCGTCCTCCAGGGCCCCAGTGGATGGGGCCTGGGCAAGCAGGCCTTGTAAAGAAAAACATGGCGCCATATGCTTATATGCTGCACTGACTGCTACAGGTCAGTTCGGACAGACCCAAAATTCAGATTTCACGGACATACATGGACTAATTCTTAATTATAAGACATATATTTGTACATCTATGTTGATGTCGTTCGAGAATGTCGTTTCACATGTCGAGAACAAAGTTCCAACTAGATCCACACGGGCTCCCTGAAGATGTTGTTCCCAACGAAGTCCAAAGAACCACCCTGGTTGGAGTTTTCAACCCACTTGAAAACTATTAGTCCGAGGGTCCAATCATCCCCAAGTAAGGGTTGAAAAAAACATATCCGAAACCATCACCTAGCACCCAAACGGAAGGTCTGGGTGCTGTTCGATGTCTTTGACCCGCTGCTGTGCCTCGACGCTTCGATGGACAACAACCCCCCGTGCCTTGAAGGAACAAGGGCGGCAGCTCATGCTGGATCGCAAGGTCCTGCCAACACATGTCGGAGTTGTGAAATGCCGGCCCGTTCCTCTCCGACTCTGCTCAAAGTGACAAGGTCAAAGGGCAGATATTTTTCTCTTTGGCAATGGAAAGGGACTTGTCCACCGGTTGTGCAGTGTTTGCAGCTAGCCTCTGCTATGGAGAAGGGTACATCACCTAGAACATCTATCCGTTGGCATGTAGCAATTGTATTACATATGTCATCGTCTCATGACTACCAATCCCCCGAGCACACCAGAACACTTTAGAACGAGCAAATCCAGCAGATAGGTCTATGCAGTTGTATGATGCGCTTGATCTGTGGTGGAAGTGGGGAATGGGCGGGTACATTGGAGAGTTGCCACTATAGGGTAAAGAATTTGGAACACCCTACCATCGAATTGTGTTGGACGAGCAGCCCAACTGTCCAGACTGGCATACTTACCAGACTTACCCAACTCCAGGTCAACCACCCGGTCCGCTATTCTCGGTCTGGGACAACTGCCAAACAGGTCATGTGGAGTAGGGACGTCTGGTCAACTTCCGGGACGGCAAGAGCCTTGAAACCCTTGGAACGCTCTTTGGAATCACAGTTATGGAACTTAGAATGATAACATGATTTTGTTAATTGCTGAATATGATGTTTGTTTATCCAATTGCTGAATCACAGAAAAATGGCATGGTACCCACAAAGAGACAGAGACGAGACCCACAGAGACCGCCGCTAAGACCCAAGAGACCCTCATTGCCTCGGTGTCATATCGACGAGTAGAGCGGCGCGCGACCGGAGACGGAGCCTGTAAGGAGGGGAGCAATGGAGAAGGCCGTGCTTGAAGCACATGGATCAACATCAACCTGAGACGAAGCACCGCATGAGAGAAGGCCTTAGATGTTTGATTTTTTTTTTCCGAAACAACAAACATGCGTTGGTGAGAGACATCTCACGTGATTGGTGGTTTGGGCACGCAATGAGTCTTCAAACATATTCCATGAACAAAGGGGAACCCAGGGTCTTATATGGTCTTATTCCAAGCAACTATTTCAATACAGTAGAATGCCCGGAGTTTTCTGCAAAGGAGCCTTCTAGTCAAAAAGAGTGTTCACTCCTCGCCTCAAACAGGGCAGTAGTTTCACAGTTTAATTTGAAGTTGCTGTGATCATCTTCCAATTCCAATCATCGTGGTTCTTTGTCCAATTCCTCCCTTCGGAACAATGACCGCATCACGGCCAGAGCGCGTCAGCGCGAAGGAGGAGAAGCTTCCCCGCTGCCGGTTGTTGATGCCGCGCTTCTTGGCCCAGACCTGTTGGATGTGTTCACCGGGCTTCGTTTTGCCACGCGCTCGGCCAAGTCTCCGATTCGTTCTTGGAGGATGGTTTTGAGATGCTTTGAGTGAACTTCCCACTTGGAGATGGTGCTGTGAGAGACACAGTGGGTTCCTCTCAACGTGTCTCCACGTCAACAAAATGGATTGGAAGAACATCTGGTGTCGGGGTCAAAACCTTGGCATACGGAAAACACTGGAAATACGGATCTTCCATCAGCAGCACCAATTCAACACAGAATACACGTGTCATGCAAGCTAAGTTCAAATCCAAAAAAAAAATACTTTGGTGTTCCAAAAGGAGACAACACACTCTTCCCAAAGTCTGTTCAGGTTGGCACCTTCTTCGCCCGACCAGTCGTACCTAGAACGACCTCCTAGGTCGCGTTTTCGATGGGTCAACCAGGTTGGTCTCACTGCCAGGTCGGTCTCGGTCTCCTTTTTACCGTCTTCTGCTGGCAGCATATGAAGCCTTCCACCACCGAATCCATGCGCATTCGCTGTGGCACCGCAATCCTGAGACATCCCCTATAAAAAGAATCACGGTGACGTGGAACATGACCGGTCCGCTCCGCCGTCTTCGCGGTTTTTGTTCTGGTCAGTTTTGTTCAAAACGAGCCCAGGTACGTTTTAAACCCACCAAACCCTAAACAGAGTGTTCCCCTAAACCCACCAACCTGTCCTTCGTCCTTCGTCAAGGTCGGTCCTGGTTCGGTCCGAGTCAAGGTGGATCGATGCTCCAGGTCCGGCGACGTGGACGTCGAGGTGAAACCGGAAAACAGGTTGGGTGGCGGTTCTACCATGGTGGCGTCCATGTCCCTGTTCTGAACCCTGAGAATCAAATATGCTGGGTGGGTCATACCTCATCTCTATTAGTAGGGTGTTTGACACTCAATCAAGCACCCTTGGAACTTCCACTTAGATTGGAAGGCCAGCGAAACTAGCAGCTGTAGAGTTAATTCCGGAAACGATGTATTTTAAGTACCAAACATCAGACCACATGGGGTAAGCACAAAGTGAACATCAAGGCCCAAAAGTTTAAAGATGTCGAAAGCACCACGTGAGACACCTGTCGCAGAATCTCACATCATTGTATATGATGCATGGTGCACTTTCAAGCTCTGTCGCATATTCTACACATCTTGATTCATCTTGAAATTTAGTGTACATTGCATGCATCTATAGATTCTAGCTTCTAGATTTTCACTTCTCCCTTGCTCGCGGGGTCATTCATTAACAAGTTGTTCACCACTAACAGCAGGTGATAATTGAACTGTTCCAAAAAAACAGCAGCGCCCCTACGCCCTACGCTTGATGGAAGAACTCAGCCCCACCGGTGGATTTGATGCCTCAGGTGGATTTCTTTCATCGTCCCAAAACCGGGCCCCTTAAGCTTGGTGAGGTCGAAGGCATCGATCTCCGCTCTCTCAAGAACTGGAACGACAAAATCTATGCGCTTCTGCTGGGTGCAAGGCTTCTGGGCAAACTCCTGCTCAAGTCTGGACAGCTATACACGTGGGAAGGATGTCATCAAACGAGCCAGTGATGTCATCGTCAGCTTTCCCATCTCAGAAGCTGGAGGGAACATTATGCAGATTTTGTGGTGAGTTGACAACTTCCAAGAGTCAGTCGCCTTTCAGTGATTGTGCAACTCAATTCATACAAATGTATTGCTCATAATGACTTGGCCAGCCATGGGCCGAACACATGTCCTTTCCGGGTACCCGCACGACTCGCCCACAACGTCTTCGGTTTGGGAGGCTTCTCGTCGTATCTCGCGGCGATGGATAAAAACTCAACACCCAGGCATTGAATACCTTGCTGCAGTCGTAGAAAAGCTGCGTTGGGCAGTCTAGCGACCTGTTCTAAAGTTGTCCAATTCTCTGCCCCTAAGACTCCTTGGAGCCCTTTTGTAGGGAGGCTCCTCGGCTCAAAGCTATACGTCCGGAGACTTCCTCGTGCTGGAGTTCTTGAATTGTCTCTTTGGAGGAGCTGCGACCTTATTGTGAAACCCCGGTCACAAAACATCAAAAACTCGCCATACTGTCAGGAACCTGGGAAATCCAGTTCAAAGAGTACACTCGTGTGGGTAATTGAGAATGTTGAAGGAAATGTGATCCGGCCCATGTCCTCTCAACCTATAAAATGATTATATTAACTATAAAGTAACTCCATCTCTTCTAGGGGTTCTCAAATAGCCACACTCCACCAGCATCACCCTTGATGGCCAGCATCAGTCGTTCTTGCAAGCGTGAATCATGTATTCGTCTTCGTGATGGTCCATTCAGCTTGAGGTGAGAAGTTCCTCCTCTTATTTTGACAATGCAGCCATTCTTCCCACGAGTCTGTACCATACCTATCCAGAATCCTGTCTGGATACTTGGGCAAAGTGCATCTCTTCTCCTCAAAAAATGCCCAACGTGAGGAGTTCGAGCAAAACGAGGGGATCAGTGGACATCTTGTTGCTCTTGGACATCTTGTCGCATGGTCATACCAACTCAGGAAACCTCTGGAGTATCGAAACGGATCGATGTTCATTCGGTTACTGCAGAAGCAACGAATGAATAAACAAAACACGTCAACCTCATGAGCCTCATGATGTTGCAAAAGGAATAGGAGTGGGAACATGTGGCACATGGCACATGTCACAAATCTCTCTTGAACCATCTTGAGGAAAGCTTCGTGAGTTGCATTGTGTAGCTCTTAAGACATGTTTCAACAGTCGGCAGAGCACCATCAGCAACATTCGACAGGTTTCACCATCTGGGTCCGTTCTCGTATCTCCTATTTGGTCGGATACTCGCCCAGTCAAATCACCCGAAAAGGAGGACATCAAGGACTGCCCTGGCCCTACGACCCCAGGACCCAAAGAGTGGTGGAAACCGGGCCCCTCGCCCTGCAGGGTTTGAATCTTGGGTGGTGTTCGGAGCCTTATGAACAAACAAAAGCAAATCACAAGAAACAAGTCGGTTGAGGAAGCAAGGATGTTGGAACCTGCCTTGGGGTCTTCCACCTTGACCTTGCTTGACAGAGCCTGGATTTCACACATAGCATGGCCCATTTCACAATAGACGCTTACTCTTCGACACATGGGTCCATCAGAGTCGCTTACTCTGAGAGCATGGTCCAACTTTAAAGTCTCCACTGGCTGGACTCAGAGGTCACTGGACTTTGCACTCTTTGACTCCAAGCATTGCCCAATACACATGAACAACACATGAGCATGAAAGATTTGGCTTCCTCCGCTGGCAAGGCGAACCAACAAGACCAACACCACCAACACATTTTGTGCCACATCTATACCCTAGAAGTCCAGTTCGACGATATTTTGACCGGCTGAAGTAAAGGAAGTTCCCGAACTCAGGTCCCCTAAAGACCATTCTTTTTATAGTCTTTGACTCCCAGGGTATATACCACAGTTGATTCTTGTAGCTCCAGTAACTCCCGAGTCTTCCTCGATATCACATCCTCAAATGCCCATAGTTTTGAACACTTTGCTGGGGAACAAGTGCCAGACACTCCATGGGACTGCAATAGAGGACTGGGTATATCGGTACTGTATATCCCACCAACAGTGGATGATAATGATTAGTAAAGTATCAAACATAGTAATTGTTTACCGACTCTTACAGGTCATAGGACACCCCCAACTGGAATATATTCATATTTAAATACTGACCTACATTGACAGGTCAACGCCCCAAACTGAATGATACATATACGACCCCAAACCGCCTACACCAGACAGGTCGTGTCTTTGGATGGTTTTTCACCTGCAAACCGGTCCCGATCTCACCCGATTCTCCGGGTGACGACCCGATCGTCGTTCACTCAGCGGCTCAGGTTCGGTGGTTAGACCCCCCTGGCACCCACCCCAACCATCTTCGAAACGGAGGTGGGCCAGGAGCCGCTAGGGGAGGTGAACCAAACAAACTCAGACGAACTCCATCTGTTCATCTACCCAACCCTAAACCCCACAAGAATTGTATGACCTTCCTAGCCCTCTGCAAGAGCTGGCCTTTGTTACACGTGCCCTTCTGGTGTTGACGGAAGAAGTCCCGTACCACTACGTAGTCATGAGCTGCAGGGCTTTCTAATGCCATGGCGGAGTCGGCTCCTTGTGCCGCGTTCTTGTGATGGCATGCCTCGTTCTTGGACCGTGCGGCCCAGTGAACCTCCCTGGTCTTGGATGGCCGCAGCTCCGGCACAAAGTGGAAGCCTTTTTTCGGAGCTCAGGCGACCGGGATGGTCAGAACAAATCGTGCGGCACCAAGCAACGGGCTTCCCACAGTATGACTGGCACCCGGACGCGACAACATGCAGGTCGCTCGTCTCCACCAGGACGCGACGACATGGACACAGGACTACTGGGTGTGTTCGAATGGAAGACTCAGCCAAAAAGCCAAATCGGACCTTCCAACTTCCACCCCTCAAAATCTCCGAATCGCACAAAAGAATGAGTTTAGGGGTCGATCTTCCAAGAACATGTTCGATATATAGATGATATTATAGCACGACCCACCTGCGGGGGTGTGGGGAATCCGGTCGCAAGGGGACAAAGAAGCATCCCATTTCTCAACAAGTGCCAAAGAAGTTTGGACCAAAAAACATCTTTCCAAGCACCATCCATGCAGGGTACGATGACTGGTGGAAGATTCCCGAGCGACGTTCTTCTTCCACAAAATGCGCACGGCGTTGCCCACGCCCTTTTGACCCAACGTGCGACAAACGGATAGTTCCGCTTCTTCAAATGATTCACCGCAAAACCTTTTCGAAACCCCAGGGAAAGGAGTTGTCTACCATCAGCCTTGTTCGTGGTGCATCAACTTCATCAGCCTTGGTCGTGGTCAATTGGGACTCGGCGCTTTCGGGCCCACACGTGGCCGAACAGAATGTGTCCAAGTCGAAAAACTGGCTCACAAGCGCGAATGTCTTGAATTAAGGCTTGGGTCAAACCAGAGACATGGTGGCTTGGTTGG